TTTTTTTTTCTCTTGCGTTTTTGTCTTTCTTCTTTTTCTCTCTCTCTCTCTCTCTCTCTCTCTCTCTCTCTCTCTCTCTCTCATTACTGAACCATCATTTCCATGGCAAGAGATAATTGACCAGGGGGTGTGGGCTCATGTCCTTGCCCCTTCCCCACTCATTCATACATAACATTCCAGACTGCGTTCACTGCTTATAGTTACTGCCAAAGTAACTTTCTTTTCAGAGAGTTTCCCTTTGGATTATTTTCTTGGAATGCTTTGCCAAGGATTTGATTAGAGTGAAAAGCATTAGGATAGGAAGCTCTTACCACATGAAGCCAAATTTTCATACAATTCAAAAGCACTGACACCAGATACCCTGCCCACCAGTAGTGTTGAAAGGGCTGCTCCTACACACCTGCTAGCACTGATTTTTTTTTTTAATTTTATATTACATGGGACTGATGGCTCAGCTGTTAAGAGCACTGGCTGCTCTTACAGAAAACCCATGTTCAAATCCCAGCACCCATATGGCAGCTGACAACCATCTGTAACTCCAGTCACAGGGGATCTGATGCCTTCTTCTGTCCTCTACTGGGACCAGGAGGAGGCTGGGGTGCCCACAGAAGGCAAAGAAGTAGCAGGGGCCTCTCTGTCCCCAGCCATCCTCATGCAGAGGCCCTCTACACGGTACACCTAAAAGAGGGGCAGGAGGAGTGGTGGGAGAACTTATTACCACTCCCTCTCTTCAGGGGACTTCTGGGAATAGCCAACCACAAAGCTGTCACTCTGTCTCCTCACCGAGCACACCCTCCAGAGGATGTCTCAATGGGGCGGCCTATACACAGAAGGACAAGGTCACCCTTGATCCCCAGTGCCTAGGGCAATGCTGGGAGACATTCCCCGTGTGGGTGAGCATACACACCTTAACAACAGCGGAAGGAAACGGAGGGAGAGCAAACCCACACACTGAGATGCAGGCTGGGACTGGCTGAGGACACAGTGGGTATTTGGAGGCCAGTGTCTACCCACCAGCAGCCTGTCCCCTCTCAGACCATCCTTGTGAGACATGATGGTTTTTGAAACACTCCCTCAGCCACCAATATAAGCTTGGGGATCCAGCCACCCACCCCCATGGAACCAGAATCTAGTGCCCAGTGCCAGGCCAGGTCCTGAGGTATTCTAGAAGCTTCTCTGCTTGTTTCTTGAAGCTTCCCTCTGTGGCTCCTCATACCATCTAGCAGACTGCTGCCCTGTATCCACAGTTACTGGCCCATCTTGGAGAAAATTGGACTGGGGCCTGGGGTGGGCTCAATGCTGCAGGGTTAAGAGATGTCAGACTTCTTACAGGAGAGATGGAACCTTGAGAGTTCACACATTTTCACCTGTAGACTTAAACCAGGCATGAGACAGCTGGCACCCACTGTGGAGCTGGCCACCCTTCTCACTGGGCATCTGCAACCCCCTGGGAGTCTTCATCTGCAATAACCTCCTCATGATGGACAGGTGATTGTTTGTGAAATGACACAGTTTCATGGGCTGAAAATTGAGTGCTTATAGCTTTGCCAGTGAGGTGAAAATAAAGCTGTGACTGTCCCCAGAGGCTGTGCAGGCTGCCTACCATCCACACTGATGCCCAAGCCCTCCTCAGCTGTAATCCTGTCCCGGAACCTCTTACACCACAGCCTACGGTCTCTGAAGGGTTCCCTCTGGTCTCCGGGTAGGCTCTGACTTCCCCTGTCTTTCTGTCTCTACCCTTAGGGCAAGGTCATTTGGGGGCTAGAAAAGGCTTAAGCAGACTTACATCCAGAGTCTTCCATGGGAGCATCAGGGGAGACCAAGTCCCTGGATGTTCCTTGGGGTAAGCCCCTAAGACTCTGCATTTGAGAAAGTGGGAAAGGCCAGTGTCTACCCACCAGCAGCCTGAATGTCTAAGGGCTGGTTCAAGAATCAGGGTCTGGCTTACAGGGATGTGTGGAAGAGCCTCTGGAGCAAGCACAGGTTCCCTGAAAAAATCCTCTGCTGGCCAGACCTTTGACTTAGCACCAGTTAGAGGCAGTCTGATACTGGTCTAGAAGCTTACATGGAGAGGACACCATGACACCTTTGTCTGCACCAGAGAGTGACAACAGCATGCCAGGCCTACAACAGGGCTCACGAGGAGAGTCTACATATGCCCACCAGGGGTCAGGTGTAACCTTGGGATGGAGTGATGCTGCAGGGAAGCAGGGACAGCACCACCTAAGAGAACATGAATGGAGGCATAGTGAAGACACTGGGAAAGCCATCCTGCAAGAGGGACAGCATGTGCAGGGCTCAGAGTTGGAGAAGTTCTTTGGAGAGGAGAGTCAAGACATACTGGGGAATGGAAGAGGCAAGTCTGGGCAGGTGAGTGGATCCAAATCACCGAGTCTGGACTAGCAGGCTACAGACGGCAATGTATCTTAACAGCTTCAGACACAGCATCCAGGGTCTCCAACACTGTCCTCAGAATGTACATACTTTCAGCCAAGCATGATGGTGCAGGCATGTAACTATAGCTTCTCAGGAGACTGAGGCAAGAGCATCAAGTCCTACCTAGACTACAAAGTGTGTTCAAAGTCAGCATGTGTAATTTAGCAAGACCCTGTCTCAAAAAGTAACAAAAAGGATGAGGATATAGTTCAGTCGCAGAGCACTTGCCTAGTGTGCACGAGGCCCTGGGTTCAATCCTAGGTCCCTCCTCTGTCCAACAAAGGCGTGTACCTACCTTCCTAGCTCCTTGTAGTGACAAAATGACCTCAACAATGTTGAACTTACATTCCCCAAAGCCCAGTCAGTAGGACCTCAGGAGAACAACAGTTTCCAAGTGCCAAGGAAGCTCTGGGATTTGTGCCTGAACCCCTAACCTGAATCAGGACCATCCCTGAATCAATGATTGTGGCCAATGTCTGGGGGAAATATGCTGATTATTCAGGACTTAGAAAAACGGTTTTTGCTGGGCATGGTGGCTCACCCCTGTAATGCCAGCACTCAAAGGGGCTGAGGTAAGAGGTTTGTTGTGAATTCCAGGCCAGCCTGGTGTTGCCTGAGTTCTCTTAGGGCCCCTGCTCCTGGCGCTATTAGACAAACCATATAACACATCTTATCTGAATTTTTCAGTTTATATCCAAGGTAGGGGAAATAGAGCGACTTACAAAGAACACCTGGCGCCCCGCTCCGCTCTGTGGCTCGGCGGCCTGCCATTCCAGATTGCTTCCACGACCCACCCACAGTCTCCCTTAGCTTTCGTCCATGCCTCGTTGGGCCTGTGGTGTCGCCCCAGGTTTGTAAATGCCCCCTCTCACGTCCACACAGGTGAGACACCAGAGCCATTTTTTCTGCCTGCTGCCAAGATTGTACCAACACGCCTCCCTCTGCAGCTAACTCTCCCGCAGCTCCCTCTCCGTAGCTAACTCTCCGCAGCAGGCCCCGCACCTCGGAGGAACACCTGCCCCTTGGGACACACCTGGATTACAGAGTTAAGTCCACATCAAGAGAGCAAGGGAGAGAGAGGGATAGAGGAAGGACAGAAGGGCTGAAGAGATGACTCAGCAGTTAAGTGTACTTGCTGCTCTTTCAGAAGACCAGCGTTCAGTTCCCAGCACCTATATTACACAGCTCACAATTGCCTATAACTCTAGTTCCTGAGGATTCAACACCCTCTTCTGGCCTCTGAAGGTACCTCCATGAACATGTGCACACACACACACACACACACAAATAAATAATAAAATATCTTTTGAGAGAGCTCGCAGGATTCTACACCCACTTCTGGGCTCTGAAGGTACCTCCATGAACATGTGTACACACACATACACACACACACACACACACACACACACACACACACAAATAAATAATAAAATATCTTTTGAGAGAGCAGAGAGGGAGAAAACCAACTTTCATGGTGAGATGTTCTAGGAGTAGGTCCTTAAATGGAGGAACTGACAGTAGAGAAGATGTGGTTCCTTGGGGGAGTGTTGGGGGAGGCTATAAGAAGATGAAAACTAGATGCTGGACTGTGAGGTGGGGAGTACTAGCATCCCTCACATGATGTGGTCCCTGAACTTAAGTGGACACAGGTGACTGTGAAATGCAGAGTCCTCCAGCCTGGAACTTGGAGAACCAGTAGCCCCAACTCAGGTGTACCCCAAACATTTCTTGCCATTGCAGGCAGGCATGCCCCGCACGCTGAGTGCCTCCGACATGGTCACCCCAGGCAGCCTCAGTCCACCTCCCACAGAGTCCACAGAAGGCGAGCAAGCTGGGCAGACCCTTCTGGATGGAGCTCCATCCTCAGCCTCTCTGGACACCCTGATTCAACACCTGGTGCCCACAGCCGACTACTACCCCGAGGTAAGTGAGCCGCCAGGCAGCAGTGAGGGACAGCAAAAAGCCTGGGGCAGACCATAGGCCTGGGAGTGGCCTTAGGTCTGAGGGGGCAGGGCAGGCTGGAGACATGTCCTCCATGCCCTGATGAGCTTATGCCATCATTTTTGCCTATCCCCACCAGAAAGCCTACATCTTCACTTTCCTGCTGAGCTCTCGCCTCTTCATCGAGCCCAGGGAGCTCCTGGCCCGGGTGTGTCACCTGTGCATTGAGCAGCAGCAGCTGGACAAGCCGGTGCTGGACAAGGTAAGGGACCTGATGGGCCAGGGGGCCTCTGAATGTGTCCTCACTCCATGGACATGGCCTGAGAGGGTCAGCTGCTCTGGTAGTGGGTGATTGCTACATCCTTCTAACAAGGGACCTAGTGGGGTTTCTCACGTATCTGAAGCTCAAGGTCTGCAAGGACAAGGCCAGGACTCTTACCCCTGTGAAGTTTCCCAAAGTCCTGTGGGGTCATATTAAAGCCAGACCCAGTTTCCTAAGAGATGAGTCTATAGAACCTATACTGCCTATTCCCTGGAGTGGCCCAGGGCCTTTGCTGCCCTTCCTTCTGGCCGCATCTATTTTCTCTTCTCTATGGAAAAGACAGATCCACTGTGCCTTGGTTCCTCACACTCTTTTTCCTCTCTCTGGCCTCATTCTGTGAGTTGTGGTTGTCTACATGTGTGTCAGTCAGGCTTTCCAGAAACCCAACTTCAAGTGGCCCAAGCCAAGGAACATGACTGGCTTGTGTAACCAAGTGCCTAATGGTACTGCTTGGTGAGGGGCCTAAATCACAGCCATAGTCCATGGTCTTTCTCACTCAGGCTCTCCACCCTGTTTTCATCTGGTACTTTCACTCTGATAACATGGAGATTTTTCTGTAGCCTCCATTGGTATGGTCACCTTCTACCCTTTCAATCACAAGGAATGAGCATGGCCCTCTCTCTATAGGTCCAGTAAAAGGGCAGATCTTAGTGGCCTGACTAGGTCACATGCCCATCTGTGAGCCAATCATTACCGGGGTTGAATCAGCTTGTCCTGAGCTGTGCTGTGGAAAGGAAAGGGAGTCACAAGAAACTGAAATGCTGTGACCCCAGAAAGGGAGATGCTAGGGATTCTGGGTGAGTAGAAACGAGAGCCCCAGCCTCGAAATGTGTGCCCCAGGCCTAGTTGGCACCTCTTCCTCTCCCTGTCACGGGGCACAGACAGTATGGCCTCCCTCAGCTTTGCAGTGGCCCACAGTAAGAGCCAGCCATGCACAGTGAGGGGCCCCTGTGGCCCCAGGAACGCCTTACTATACCTCACCAAGTGGGTCACTCTGCTTTGCCTTGCAGGCCCAAATCCGGAAGTTTGGGCCCAAGCTGCTCCAGTTGTTGGCCGAATGGACTGAGACCTTCCCGAGGGACTTCGAAGAGGAGTCGACCATCAGACACCTGACGGATGTGGTAGGCCGCATCGCCCCGTGTGACGAGGTGAGTCTGCCAGGATGGAAGTCACTTCCCCTCTCTCTACCCTCCCATCCCAGGCCTGAGCCTTGTCCTAGCCTCCCTCCTCAAGGCCCTTCTTTCCCCATATTACAATACCTCAGTGGGCCCCTGGATCCATGGCTGAACCAAGCCCTACTGAGGTGGGGGCAAATCCAGGGCTCTGGTTAAGCCTGGCCTCTTGACCTCTCCCCTCAGCTCTGACAATGGCATCAGCTGGTGAACAAGATCCACCCGTTGGGACCCACTAGACCACCTGGCGAGGCCCATGATCTTGTATTACAGAGGCCTCCCTCCTGCTCCCCATAAGAGCCAGACTGGCAGCTGCCATTTATGGCAAAGGATCTGCCTTTCCTGCTAGGAGAAGGGTTCCAGGGATGAATCACAAGGACAACTGGTGGGAATAAGGACCATGCTGGGCAGGTTCTCCTGGGATGCACTCAGGCTACAGCCTCCAGGCAGTACTCCAGACTAGAGCCCCAGTAAAGTTCAGCTCCCCTCAGCCATTACACTTGGGAACTCCTGTGAATTGGGAGGCAGTAGTGCACCAGGAGCCCTGTGCCTGTGTCCCATGCCCTGGTCTACTCTTCTGCTCTTCTGCCTGGGTCATTTGGGCAGCACATTCAGGCCTGTAAGCATCACTTGGTGCACCAGGAGCCCTGTGCCTGTGTCCCATGCCCTGGTCTACTCTTCTGCCTGGGTCATTTGGGCAGCACATTCAGGCCTGTAAGCATCACTTCCTTTATAAGTGACAGGGCAAAAATCTGCTCATCACAGCATCCTGGTAAGCCTGTAGGAAGAAGTATCTCCTGGAGGATTTAGAAGGGGCATGCTTTTTAGCATTGACAGACAGAGTGACTCTGGTCAGCTGAATCTAAAAGGAGACAATAAGGCCAAGGGGCAGGGGAAGGTTGTCATGTCAGTTGCCCAGGGAGGAGCCTGAACATGCCAGGCTGGCAGCTAGTTATGTGGCCAGTGCTGGTATGAACACAACAGAATCAGGGGCATTTGAGAAAAGGGAAAACTGCTAAGAAGGTTGTGTAACAGGAAGTCATAATGCCCAGGGCACAACTAAGGCTTGAAAAGGAGCCCTCCCCAAGGGCCACTCCACAGAATAGGCAAATGACTAGGCTTGTCTCAGCCTCCTCCTGTGCATCCCCTGGTCCAGCTCACCATGATGACTCTTGGCTTAGGATGCAGCACAGAGCAGGTCAAGGATGAGGTGGTGATTGGGTGGGTGGGGAGCAGGAGAGGGGAAGCAGAGAGGGTGGATGGATGCTGGCTGACTGGCTGGATGAACAGTTAGTTCACTACCTTTATAGAGGCGTCTGAAGGAGGATAGGTGTTTGAGTCAGTTCATAGACATGTGAATTATGGGGATAGCTGGATAAGAAAAGATTGATAGAAACAAAGGACAGCGAAAGGAATGCAGAAAGGGTGAGTGGGTGAATGAATAGATGGATGGGAAGGTAGTGACTGTGGATGGGTAAGTGGCTGAATGTTAGGAGGGAGGAAGTAGAAGTCGAGGTGAGTGCATGGATGGATCTGTGGGCCAGTGGCTGGATAAAGGTGAGGTGGGTGATAGCACAGGGCGGAGAAGAGATTGAAGACAGATGAGGGATGATGAGTGGTGGATAGATGGGGGAAGAAGGTAGGTGGGATTGATAGATGGAAAGGTGAATGGATGGGGAGTGGTTGGATAAAAGGGTGGGTGATGGGTGGATAGATGGATGGGTGGATGATGGGCAGATGGGTAGGCAATGGATAGATAGGTAGAGAGAACAGTGAGTGGGTGGATATCAAAAAAGGATCAGTGAGTGAGCTAATGGGTCTATGAGTTGATGACTGTATAAAGGAGAGGTGGACGATAACACATGATTAGAGAAAGGTGGAAGTAGTGATGGGTGGATGGACTGATGGATGAATGGATAGATGAATGGTGGGTGGATAGATGGGTGGATGGATATAGATAGATGGAAGGTGGGTAGGTAGGTGGATTGATGGATGGAGTAAAGGGTATCTAGGGAGATGAGATTCCCTCCCCTAGAAAGTCTTTGGTAGCATAATGAGGCAAGATTATTCACCATTATCTGACCTGCCTGACAGTGCTGTCCTCCGAGTGCTGGGATATATATATATATATACTTCCCACTGGATGCCAATGCCTCCTTGGCTGCCTGAGGACCCATCAGACCTGTCAGGAAACTTGTGAAATACAGACTGGTGTGAGAGTTCCTGGCTTCTACTCTACTGCTCAGGCCCAAGCCAGCAGCACACCCCTGTGTCTTCAGGATTCTCAAGTTACCCTTCCTCAGGAAGCACCCAGTGAACAGAGGCCATCCTCTGGCCACTGGTTCTCTACCCTCAGTGTGGCAGGTAGACTGCAGGTTACTGCCCTTCCAGCACAGCCCTAGGACTGGAACAACACTGGACCAGGCTGTAGAATGTGGTGTTTGGATCAGATTATGCGCCTAGATTCAGGCTCAGGAACCACACAGTCGTATGGCAAAGTGCTCTGCCACTCCGAGCTTCAGTTTTCTCACCAGTAAAGCAGGGATGTGGAGGAGGCAGCACAAGGCAGAGCCAGTAACTACCCCTCTGCCCCCTGTGCTGAGTCATCCTCATCACAGCATCCATAAAAGGTAGGCTTTTCCTCTTAAATATTTTATTTACTGCTTTCATTTTATGTGTATACGTGTATTACCTGCGTGTAGGTAAGTGCACCCATGTCGTGCAATGAATGCCTGCAGAGGATAGAAAGGGCTGTCAGATCCCCTGGAACTGGAGTTACATACAGTTGTTAGCTGCCATGTGGGTGCTGGGATGCGAACCTGGGTCTTCTGCAAGAACAGTCAGTGTTCTTAACCTCTGAGCCATCTCTCCAGCCCCCTGCTTTTCCTCTTCCCCTGCCTCTAGGCCATGTCTTCTCCCTCACAGTAGCTAGAAACGAAGCATTGAAGCAGGCTGAGGAAGGCCCCGTTGATGACTGTGGACTCCAGGGTTTCCATGGACACTTTCCCAGACTCTGGCCTCTGCATGGAAACCCCTGCTCTAGGCTGCCCTATTCTAGGCAGGGCTGTGCATGGCTGGTCCAGCCTTTCAAGGGTTCCCAGTAGATTGGCCTCAAGGAGGCCAGTGTTGAGGCTGAAGGAGACTGGGAGAGACAAGAAAGACAGAGGGTCTGAGCCATGGGTGAGGGTGAAAAGACAAAGCCCCTCCTGGGGACTGAGCTCCCTTTCCTACTCATTCACATAGACTGTCTGGTGAACTGCCACACTGCCCTCTGAAGGCAGAGACAGCAACAAGAAGACAAATGGGCAGAGGGTGGGGAGTTCTGGGGGCCTCATGAGCTCCCGCTCCTGCATTGTGGGCTGATCTAAGAGGCTGTCATGCTGGAGTGGCTCAGGAGGGGATTTTTACCCATATCAGACTACAGTGCTTGTCTAGCCAGGGAGCAGTTTTTAGTAACGAGGTGAGCATCAAGAGAACTTTGGATATACTTGGTATATTTGTCACTTTCCTGTTGCTGTGATAAAACACCATGACCAAGGCAGCTTATAGAAAGAAGAGTTTGTCTGGGTTTACAGTTCTGGAGGGGTAAGAGTCCATCATGGCAGGGAGACATGCCAGTAAGCAGCAGGCCTAGTGGCAGAAGCCGGAAGCTGACAGCTCACATCTTCACCCACTCACAGGAAGCAGAGACAGCAAAACTGGAAGTGGGGCAAGGCTATGAATTCTCAGTTCCCACCCCAGTGATGTGTTTCCTCCAGCAAGGCCACACCTCCCCAAACAACACCACCAATTGATCAAGTACTTCAAATACTTGAGCCTGTGGAGCCACTTTTCACTGGCATCACTACCCCTGGATAGCTGTGCCCTCCAGCCAGGTTCCCTGCTGCACTCATGTCCTGCTCTGTGTGGGCCACAGGGGGGTTTAGAGGAAACAGATGATAGAAAAGCCAGCTCCAGACTTCTGGTTCTCCCAGGTGCCCTTTCAGTCACTGCTGGAGAGGGCTTCAGCCAGAGGTAGGAGCAGCAAGGTGCTGTGCCATCCTAGGTATGTTTGGTAGACAGCCATTGTGAGTTCATGACCCTTTCAGTCACTGCTGGAGAGGGCTTCAGCCAGAGGTGCTGTGCCATCCTAGGTATGTTTGGTAGACAGCCATTGTGAGTTCATGATCAGGGGAAACCTTGATGTTCCCAGTAGTTGAGGTCCCCAGGCCTGTCCAGATTTATGACAGATCAAGAGCCTTGTTGCTAAAATTCCTTCTGGGAGGTGCAAATGACATCTGCCCCCCCACCCTTGGTCCCTATGACAAACTGAGGTCTACTTTCTCCAAACTGCAGTTTGGAAAACCAGAGATTTTATTGGGCTTACTTACAGAGCGATGGGTGAGGGTTTACTTACAGGAGTGTGGGTGCCCCTCCCCCACCCCAGCCACACTGGAAAGTGTCCATCCAGGCATGGATCTTGACTTCCTAATAGCCATACAAAATGGCTAGAGACCTTCCCTGTGGGTTTCCTCTGCTTAAGCACCCTTAGTCCCTCCACCTTGTGCAACTAGGAGTCACTGGTTGGTTGGGAGGCATGACTGACTCTCCCTGACCCTCCTTTCTTATGGAGGATCAGTTGTCAACAACTTTGTGATGGTCCTAGGCAAAAGGGTGCAACCCAGGTTGGGAGGGTGTCTGTCCATAGTTTGCCAGTCAGAGGAGAGTCCGACACAATAAGCCTCTATCCACAAGGGCGAAGAAATCTGTGAGCAAGTGATGGGGGTGGAGAGGGCACACTATCTCCACTTTCAGAGGAGGAGTGAAATTGTCCAGGAAGAGTAAAGAGATCAGCTTAATCTTAACAGCACTGGAAACACTCAAAACGAATTCACAAATCAGGAAATTATCATTTTTTGGAGTATTGGTTCAAGAGGCATAAGTCTTGCTGAAGTGAGCACATTAAAAAAAAAAACAACAACAACAGAGGGACTAGAGAAATGACTGGTTCAATTCCTAGCACCCACATGGTGACTAACAACCATAACTCCAGTTCCAGGGAATCTAATGCCCTCTTATGGTATCTGCAGGTATTGCATACACAGGTGCACTTATATACACATAAAAAGTAAAATTAATTTTTTAAAAAATAGAGCAGTTGCTGGGTGTGGTGGCGCATGCCTTTAATCTCAGCACTTGGGAGGCAGAGGCAGGCGGATCTCTCTTGGTCTACATAGTGAGTTCCAGGACAGCTGGGGCTACAAGGAGACCCTGTCTCAAAAAGACAAAAAATAAATAAATAAAACAGTCATAGGGTTTGGTCAACCAATAGACACAGACACAACCCTGCACCTGATTTCAGCAAGGCTCCTGCAGTCCTCATGAAGAGAACAGTTATGGGGGTAGGGGGAGGCCATTCTTGCCCAGGTACTCAGCAGGTGTGTGTGGGTACCTGTGAGTCAGATACCACCCTGAACAAGGGAGTGGGCAAACAGTGGCCTGCTGTGGTCTGCACAGAGCTTGCTGTCTAGGGAGGCATTGCCGATCTCCCCAGTGACTCTAACATCGTGACGTGGGTAAGGACTGGGAAAGAATGGCACAGGACGGTGGAAAAGGAGGAGTGCCTGCGCTTGGAGCACAGAGGGGAGCAAGGGACACCTCAGAGCATGTCCGAGCTGAGCTCAGGGCCTTAAAGCTGCATCCAGCTCCTGTATTCATTACAGTCTTGAGGACATGTATGGAAGGGAAAGTTAGGGATCCAACTTGTATTTCTGACTGTAGGATGGAGTAGAGAGAGGCAGCCTGGAGGCAGGGGGCCTGTCAAAGCCACTGCAGCCACCCGACAGGCGGCAGTGGCCTGCATGGTGGAGATGAGGGAGACATCAGGAAATGGAAGAAAGGAAGTCTGAGGCTGGCTGAGGCCAAGTGGGAGTGAAGGAGGCGGCAGGGTTGAGGAAGACCGGAGGCTGGTGTGCCTGATTAAAATCACTGAGACTGGGGATGCCAACTTTGGGCAAGGAGAGCACCACTGCTCTTTGCGGTGCTGGATTTAGATAGACCGTGGGCTGTGTTGATCCAGAGATAAGAGGTTACACATGTAAATGCAGGCACTGTCCACAGAGCAGATGACACTACAGATACAAACCAGAATTCCCAGGAACAGAGTACATAGCAAGAAGAGAGAAAGCTAGACCAACCAAGGCAGGAGGAACCCTAGCATCTAATGACAGCGAAGACAGACAGCTGCAAACAACCCAGGGCAGCAGGAGCCAGGGCTGAGGGAAAAGCGGCCTGAGAAATGGACGTTGCTTTTAGTGACATGAGCTGTCCTAGGATGACATCAGAGTTGGTCTGATGAGTGAGAGTGGCAACCAGATGATATGGTCTAGGGGAAGGACCAGTAGAGCCACTTAAATACTGACTATGCAGAGAGGGCAGTATAGACAGCCGGTGGATCACAGGGGCTGGCATGCTGTGAACCATTCACCACCTTCCCAGCACTCAGCTGAAGACCTGAGTGGCAATGTGCTGGCCGCACTTGGACATAGCATTACTAAGAGAAGTCATTTCTATCCCATGAGCAACAAACAGGACTGGCCTTAGTTAACCTACTCACTGTCCAGCTAATCAGTGAATACCTTCTGGGTTTGACCCCTGTGGCTCTGGAAGTTCAGTTAGAGTTAAGCAGTCTCCCATGCTATTCCCTTCTTCCCAGTGACTCTGCCACAGTGGTGTCATGGAGAAGCACTTCCAGGGGCCAGGAAGGATAGACAGCATTCCTGTCATCAGGGTAGTGGACACTAACCTTAAACAGTGAGCTCTGTTAGAGACACCAAGGAACTGTCTACACCCCTAAGTTGTCATGACCCAGCAAGCCAGACACCCCACACCTCCAGAATGCAGAATGCGGGGTTTGTGTCCTTCAACGTAGCATGAAGAGGGCTGGGAAGATGACTCAGTGGGTAAAATGCTGTTGGACAAGCATGAGGACCTGAGTTCAGATTCTCAGAACCCACAAAAAAGCTGACCATGGTGGGAGACATCTGTAACCCTGGTGCTGGGGGCTGGGCAGAGACAGTCAGGTCCTGAGGGCTTGCTGGCCAGTGAGTCTAGCCGAAACAGCAAGCTCCAGGTTCAGTGAGAGACCCAGTCTCAAAAAAATAAAGTGGAGAGCAACTGAGGACGAAATCCAATATCAATGTCTGGCTTCCATTTGTGCCTACACAGGTATACACAGTTTGAATAGAAACTCACTTCTATTCTCTATGACCAGACCCTGACTCTTCACTGCTGGTTATTCTGAGTCCCCTAGCCCCCATCTACTTGGTCTATGCCTTGTTATTGCCTAGAGACTGGGTCCCCCCTCACCTCCACTGCCTGCTGTGCTCTGCCAGCACCTGGGCTAGCTCCTAGGCTCATGAGGGGTGTGGAATCATCTCAGGGAAGACATTCGCCACAGGCTTATGCCCTCAGGTATCTATTCTGGGTTACGGACACTGGTCACTGGTAACACCATGGCAGCACAGACTTCCTGCCTTGTGCAGCGGGCAATCTAGCCGGGGTTATCTCAAAAAGTGATCCTATACAAGAAGCCACATTGAGTAACTGGAGGAGTGCTACAGGGTACAGAGGGCAGGGGAGTCAGGCTGGTCCAGAAGGGCTTTCTGAGCTGTGCTGGAGGAACAAGGGAGCCCCCACTGGAGCCAGTAAAAGGCCAGTCCTCCAGGGCAGGGTCTGTTCCATGCCTTTCTCCCGCCCCCTCCTCCTTCCTTCCCTAGTTGCCGGCCCCATTCTGCCCTGTGGCCTAGGTAGCTCAGGCACTTCAGCCAGGGTCGCCTACTGTGTTCTCGCTCCTACCTGTAACTGCAGTCTTCTTTCTAGCTGCCCTTGACTTTTGACCCCAGCCACCACATACCCAGTATAAGGTCCTATTTCAGGTCTGAGGACATTTGGTAGTACATGGCCTTGTCCACAGAAGCCCTAAGATTCATATCACACACACACACACACACACACACACACACACACACACACACACACACGCACGCACGCACACAGAGCCCCTAAATCTAGATTCTG